CAAAAAGACCTAATTCAGCTGTATTTGTATTACAAGTAATTAGAGATACAACAAATTTTGACACACAAATTGCAGTATATCATGCTTATTTTGCTTCAATTATGAATTACGGACTTATTTTATGGGGATTGTATAGTGAAAGCAAAAAGTTTTTATTCTTAAAAAAAGGGCGATTAGACATATAGCCAAGGTTCCTCCAGATACACATTGCCAAGAATATTTCAGTCGATTCAAAATTCTCACTTTATACAGCTCTTATATTTATTATATTTCTATGATGGTCAAGAGTAACTTGGATACACTTATACACTTATTACACACTTATTATTACACTTATTATACACTTATACACTTATTAGTCAGCCCTCTCACAAACATGAAACAAGATACAAAAAAATAATAAAACCAATGCAACATAGACTAAAAGTATTTAATTTATCCCCACAATATATGGGACCCAAAATTTATAATAAGCTGCCTTCAACAATAAAAGAAATTGATTGCATATTGAAATTTAAAAAAAACACTTAAGATATGGCTTCTGGAGAAGGGTTTTTTTTCACTGGAAGATTTTCTAACAAATGTATAATTATTTTTAATATTATGATTTGTTGTTTTGTTACAATAGATTTTAGTTTGATGACAAATCACCTGTCAATCATTGATGTAATGTGATGATAATAAATAAATAAAAGTATAGAAATAAAAATAATAAAAATGAAACGGACAAATGGCTGATAAATTCTGATAAGCCCATTTATAAATTAGAGTAAAGTTTATCAGATATCATGCTTTAGTTATTGAATTCAAACATTTATTTTAAAATTAACACTCAGAAACTTTTGTCTAGTAGAATTATGCAAGCGACTGAGAGTGAGGGAGGGCATGTGAACCAGACTTTACAAGGGCAAGTCTGCCATTCTGACAAACTTTCTCTTTTCCTACCCCTTGTCCCGTTAGACAGGGGAGGGGGTGCTTCACTTCACTTCACACTAAACAAACACTCGCAATTCGTAATCGCAGTAGAGTTGAGTTGGGGTGTTAGTGATGTCAGTCTGTTGTCTGCTTTTCACAGCTCACTCATCAGCAACTTTCGTGAAATTATAATTGATAATTTTTGTTGATAATTAGTAAAAAAAATTTTGGCCTCCTCACCCTGTTCAAGAAAAAAGTTAAGAAATAAAGTTGTTAAAATGTGTTTTGTTTTATTACTCTGTATTTAAAAGATATTGTAATTTATGAATGTGTTTTCAGTTAGACTTAGTGACTTTTTTTCATAGTTTAACAAATGTTGAAGATATAAATAGTGAGAAAATTACATTATATATTATTTAAGTTCTAATTAATAACTATTATCTTTTTGGTATGCCTACTCAATGATCTCTTTGAACTTTTTAGTTTACAAACACTTTTATTAATTTCAATCTTTATTTTTAATTTCACATCTATTTATTCATAGCATGTAATAATGTATCAAATAGACAGTAAACACTGATTATCAACTTTTTGGGTTCGTCTTTGTCCTGATTTAAGAATGAACCAGAAGTATTGAAAGCCAACAAATATAAATGTGAAAATTAAGTTACAATACTACATCATAAAATAAACTCTATTTTATTTAATACAGGTCAATAATAATAAACTTAACGATTGCTTTATTGATATATAGGCTTATTCTAATTGTAAGTGAAGGGTGAATTTCCTTAGGCCAACCATAAAATTATCAGTGTCCATTAGTGAGGTTAGGTGAGCAACTATCCTCTTGTTCATTATTTTATTTAGTACATTTTTTACTTTAATTTTTTTTTTAAGATAAACAATCCATTACAGAAACACAGGTTGTATATCATTTTTAAAGAAAATCATGCCGTGCTGCATCGAATCGAATCGCATCGATTCGAATCGAAATTCTTTGAATCGCATCGATGCATCGAATCGAAAAAAAATATGCTGCATCGTACACCCCTAAGTTTGAGTGAGCTGGGAATTTGAACTTCCGTTTTTTATATTTCTTTATTTATTTATTTCATGTCATTACATCATCATTTGACAGGACATAGTGTCATATACAGGATACCGGTAACTAAAACTTAGAATAACAAAAATGTCTTACTAACTGATCCAAGATTATTGACTTACAATATCACAACTGTGCAGTAGGCCTATTCATTTTGTAGTTTTTGTATATAAAAGTGCAAATTATAACTTCCTAACCCTAATATTTATTTATAAAGTAAGTAATTGAACGTGAAACTATCTGAATTCAAAAATTCCTAATCCAAACCTCTAATTATCCAATCCGATCCGAACCGAGCCTTAATTATCAAAAACTGAATCCGATCCGAACTGAAATTTTACCATCCGCACACCTCTATAGTCTGTCTAAAATAATTGTGCTGTAGGAATTCATCATATGATTTCCCTATCATGGGAAATCTCCCACTCATTAACCCCTTTCGTACACTGAATTTCCCGTTACAATCATCTGTTTTATATTGCAGACAGTGGTTTTTAAGGAAGCATTTGTTTATTTTGATTGAACTACACACAGAATAAAACTAGACGATGTTTTTAAATAATTAAATAAGATTCTTATTCTTTCAAATAATTGCACACACTTAAATTGTGTTTTAGTTTGGATTGTAATATCTTGGCACCTTTTGACCATTTCTAATCATCACTAATCAAGTAAACTCAGATTGAATAACATCAAACTGCACGAAATACCATCAGAATAATCACAATGTTATTTAAGCCACTAAATGTAAACAAAGTGACACCTGTTGCAATATTATGAGCAGTATGAATCAGCTGTAGGCTAATATGTGTGGCTGTAGGTGGTGGCGGGGGCCAGGGAGAAATCAGGGGAAAACGAATTTGTCCTTCAACCGCACATTAAATTCAGACAGAGTATAATATCGGCCGTTGCTGTCGGCAATGCTGCGTTTACTATAGTAATACCAGAAACAAAAGAACCCTGGGCCGTTTCGAGCCGCGCAGGTTTGAATGGTACACCACACCTACCGGCGCGAACCACGTGATCTTTTCGTTTCTGCGCAGGTTGTTTTGTTCTTGGTATGTCTTTACCAATGTTAGGGGGACAACACTGAGCGCTGGCTAGTTTTCAGTGATGTATTTCCATGCTAACGCCGGCCGCACACTGATGCGACAAAACGTCTTTCGACAAAACGTTTTGTCAGAAGACGTCTTGTCGGAAAACAAAAACGTCGCATTGGTGTGCGGTGGTCTCAGACAAAAGACAAAAACAGGAGGGAAAACTAAATTCAGTCAGCCGTAGACCAGTGTTGTGAAAAGCCAGAGATTGTGTGGTGTTAATAAAACGGATGAGGAAGTGGACGTAGCAATTATGTTGTGGAACTTTATACAACTTGCAGAACTAAACGAAGGAAGGGAGCATCGATTTTCTGCATTTTCTGCATAAATCTAAAATGAACGACTACTTACTGTAAAGAAAATTATTAAAAAATAAGGGATTAGCTGAAGTATTTGAAATTTAAATGGCATTTTTATTATTTTCTGCATAAATCAAAAATGAACAACTAGGTACTAACTGTAAGAAAAATTATCACAATATATACAGGTTGTCCCACGAGAGGTGTCTCAAATTGATTACGGAAAAACTGCTTAACCTACAAGGATGAAATACAATTATTTTCCACTAAATCGACCCCAAGGAATAACGTAAACATATTTTTTACTTTTTTACAATACAGGGTGTGCCAAAAACTGAGGTTCACTAGTTCGAATCTCGAAATTTTCAAATGTAAACATATGTCTTGTTATACAAAAAATAAAAGATAAAAAAAATAAAAATTGGCGGCAGTTTTTTTTTATAAAATCAATATTTATTAATACTTTGTGTTTCTTATACCAATGCACTTAGCCCATCTCCGGTTAAATTTTCTTACTCGTTATAAAATTAGCTTTACTGTGATATGCTACAAGTAACGGTTTTTTAAATAATACAAATTCCAAAATAATTGATTTTTGGAAATTTGAAAATGGCCATTGTTTAAAATTTCCAAATAGCAACATAATAATATGTTGAGTGGCACATCATTTTATAGGTTTTTATATTCTTGACAATTTTGTAATTTACACTTACTACGCATCTAGTTTTTGTGTAAATAACAAATGACCTAATTTTCCTAAAGCCCCTACCCCCGCTACCTCTAAGGGCAAAATTTTCAAAATTTACCATAATTATTGTAGCCCCTCATATCTAAGGTTACAGCAAACCGATTTCAACTATCTCAAATGGTTAAAAAGTTAAGGGGGGTGCAAGTTACTTTTCAGCCACCCTGTATAGATAAGTTGTACTGTATCCGCCCTCCGCGCATGCGCTGAACTGTTTGTCTGATCACGTTTTGGCTTCAGACGAAATATTGGAGACGATCACAAAAACACCCAAAAACGTCTTCAGACAAAACAGCACGACTGAAGCCTCTGTCGCATCAGTGTGCGATGCCTCCATTTAACTGCATTGTAAGCAACTCCCTTCCGACGTTTTGTCGCATTAGTGTGCGGCCGGCCTAAGGAGCAATCCAGTTAGACTATCTACATGGATTCACACGCCTTCATTTTTATTTTCCGGCCAAGAGAGAAATTGTGACAGTTAAATATCTTAATCTCTGTGTATAAAATAAAGCATTTTCAAGTGCTAGAATGGTCTTTTTCCAATTTAGGTTAATCTGATAAAAAAAGTCCTTTAAACCTAGACCATGATGCATAAACGTAAGATTCTTTGTTTTTTGAAATAGGTAATTATTCTTTTTTTTTATTGTTCATATACGAAGACAACAAAATAACATACTTTAATTTTTCGGAAAGATTTAGTTCAAATTAACAAACTACCTATTACAGATTTTCTAAAATAAAAATGTATTAAAGCATAAATAGTTGTAAAGTAATTTTGCGTAATTTAGTTCTAAGAAGTTCATATAACTACTGAAATTCACAATATATTGAATATACTATACCTGGGATGGATCGTAAACCGGTAAGGTGACTCCTGCAACTGACACCACGGACGGACAAATCTCGTTGATAAATGGTATTTCTAAATACACCTTATCTGCAACAAACCAATATTTCCTATAGGCTAAAAGAGTTACTGAAAAACAACTGCATAATATGGCTATTTTTTCTGTGTAACTTACTGCTACAGAATGTGCGAGTATCAACACATTTAACATTTTAAGCGTTTTTATAAGGTAATGGTCAATACCCTGATCCTGCAACTAACATCGACGTTTTGTTAAATAGCATCATTGATTGTTAGCCCTATGGACATCTGGGTCCAAAACGATCCAGTGACCTTCAGATTTCAAGGTGACAGACAATTTCACAATTCATTAGACTGAGTGATTTTACAGGAAAAAAATTATCATTTTGTGAAACATTTTTATTTAATCATTCTAAGGCTGCGGAAAGTATAATGTTTGGTTTGGATAAATAGTGGTTTTAAAATTCCTTGGAATGCCAAAGTGATTCTTGTAGTCGGTCTAAGCTACCAGCAAAGTATTTTTTATCAGGCCACACGGTGTAATTTAGAACATGTCAGCTTTTGTCGAACAATATACAAACAATGACAAAAATGTGTTAACACAAAATGTAGTGACTCCAGACCACCTGTATATAATGTTTATTTGACATGACTTATTTTTTTTACTTTTGATTTAATTGTTCATTTGTTTAGCAAGAAAATACATATATTTTTATCAAGGGTGCACTCAATCCTGGGTCAGCTGGACACTACCTTAATTTAACCACCTTTTTTTAATTCGGTCTAGGCTAGTAGTACTAGAAAGCTCAGACTTTATGTAGCTAAAAGCTACCCAATATTTACATCCAGATTGACGACCTAAAAGGTTTTGTTTGGGCCAACAAACTTTTCATATATGTAAATAGATAGTTTATGTTGTTGGTATTGTTTTGAATTGTATGTCTATAAACTATAAATATTTACCACATAACGAGGCAGAAATAGAAGGCAACAAGGTTTCACATTCACTGGCTTGTGGTGGGAATTTACAATAACTTGCAACCATTTGTCGTAACTGTGTCTCATCCATACCTGTGACAATCCCCATGCAGTGGCAAGCTAGCCTACAGAAATACAGTACAAATAATATGTATGAGGCCAGACCTTTTACAGAATTAAATAAGAGTCATTAAAGAAATTTGTAATGTTGATTTCAATTAATAGTTTAAAAATGTTTTTAGAACGTTTTAGGTGACCGAGTGGGTCCAAAACAAATACTTGATCCTAAATCTTCTAATACACTATTTATATTGGTAAAGTTTAACATTATAAATTTAAATAGGCTACTGTATCTATTTTGATGAGAACAACACACTTACCGGTACTGGTAAACTTAAGACAAATGAACGTCATCATGAAAATCCTATCTTGTTGTAAAGAATGCACAAGATTTATTTTTCTAAAAAACAAAAACTACAGTTAGCTATAGTTAAAAAGCAAGCCTACCATACAACTCTGTTGTCTTCATGTTTGAGAAATCTCCTGGCAAATTCTGACCATTTCCATACAGTTTTAAAATGACTCGCTGATGATCTTAAAAACCGCAAACATGTTTCTACTACTTCAACCTCAGCAACTTTGACATCTTTTCTTTTCTTTTTAGGAATTTCTCCTGTATTAGTAAAATGGTTTTCCCATGGTGCTGGACTTTTATCAAAATATTTAATGGAATACCTGAAAAATCAGAAAAAATTACTTAGGTGAGCACAACACTCTTTCTTACAAATTTCAATTTTTACTAAAATGGTAAAAAACAAATCAAGAAACAAAAATACTTTGAAATATACATAAAGTAGCCTACAACAATTCACAGCTAAGTTATTTAATTTGAGATATTTTGTTTTAAGAGTTTAACACAAAATAATATAAAAGAGAGTTAATTTGATAAACCAATAGGGGCCTATCTGAAAAACAAAAGAGGAACAAAAATTGTAGTAGGAAAACAATGCTTAACAAGAAACAGAAAGTTTTGGGACAGCTGCAGTCAGCCCTAAACAGTAAAGAGGTTACAAAATGCAACTTTGTTATCTCTGGGTTCACAATTGTATTGTATTATAATATAAGGTAGATGTACAATTTATACAAAATTGTTAGGCAATTTTAGGTAGCTATTTTAGGCAACCCTGGTTGTGCTCACCAGGGTTGCCACCATACTTGTAAAATTATGACAAAATTAACGTACGCGGGGGTATGTCACACCCCCGCGCGCGCGGTTAAGGTTTCATGAGTGTTAGAGGTTTTACTTGTTCATTGTACTAGTAACTTAAATTATAGTTGTCACTGACAAATTGCGTTTAAAATTCAAAAGTAAGAGTAAAACTACAAAATAATCATTTTATCTCTCTACCAAAATTAGCAATGTAAAATAATTAATCCATTCACTAAATAAAACTTACTGTAAAACATCAGGGTGAGTATCTAATAACTTCCCCATAGCTATACACTTCTTTGCATGGTTGACATTTCCAGGCATCGACAATAGGACTAGCACCAGTTCAGGAAATGCACAGGCAACATTGACTGTATATTCTGGATTGAGCAAAATATTCTGTAGTTCTAGAAGAGCTGATTTGGTTAATTCGAGATCCCAAGTCTGTTAAAGAAAGATCAATTTTATAAAACTAAGTTATTGAAGCAAACTTATTTCAGAGCTTTTCTATTAATTTACAATCAATAACTTATTATTTTGAATGTTAAAATACATAATTTAAGTTTTAAGTTAGCCTATTTGATTTGTTGATCATACTCTAACCCAACCTAAATCAAATCTTAGGGGTTTTTGTCCTGCAGACCACAGTGGCGTAGGTAGACCTTTGTCAAGGGGGGGGATACCGGGGGTCTAGGGGTCCTCCCCCGGAGAAATGTTAAAAATTAACTTCTATAAACACTATTTTAAAACTTTTTTATTGGCTGGCTTTCTTGTCTGTTCGGTACAAATTTTGCAATCGATTTTAAACTAAATTCTCGATGTGTTAGAGACTTGAAACTTTAAACATAGCTGACAAATGGATGACAATGCAATATTATATCATTTTATTTTCATATTTATCTTAGGCTACACCCCACGGGCTTCCAAATTTTCAATGTTAACATTTTGGAAGAATATCAATTGAAGTCAGCTGTAAATACTTTAAATTGACTGTTTGTTCAAAGAGCAGAGGTTAAGAGGTAGGGCCTACAGGTTCTGCTCCCAAGAGATTCAAGTTTTAGGATTATGAAAATAGTAGCAACAACATCTGATTACTGTTAAAAAGGGTTTGGTTGTGTATTAACAGGCTATATAAAATAGATTTAATTTACAAAAAGTAGAAAATAATTTATAAATATGTGGAGAGAATAAATACTTGTAAGATTTGAAACAAAAAACGTGGGCACATGCAATAGATAATAATTTAGTCCAATAGGTGAAGATAATAATTGTAAATCATCTATTGCATTCGCCCCATGTTTTTGTTTTAAATCTTACAAGTATTTATTCTCTCTCCACATATTTATAAATTATTTTCTACTTTTTAGATCATTTACAAACGTGGTATTTTTAAATTTATTTAAGCATAAAGTAAAATCTGGTAATAATAATATAAAAAAATTGTAATAAAAAAAACAATTTACAACACACAACAACACAACACAACAATTTAGGCCTACACACATCAATTTCTTGTTTGTAAATAATAAAAAAAATTGTTGTAGGGGCCTAATAATAATAATTGCCTACGTGCAATCGGTGCACCAGTACGGAATTTTGGCTTGGGGTGGCGTCTCATCCGCTGTGCTGGAGCCCTTGTTTGTATCACAGAAATCTTTAATGAAAAAAAAATCTTAAAAAACCACTCCCATATCCAACAGATCAACTCTTTATTGAATTCCCAGTATTGAATATTAGACAATTATTCATAAAATCACTATTACTATTTTAATAAAGTCAAACAAGCAAAAAATATTTACAGAAATAGGCCTATCACATTGTTATCCCATTAGGAACCGGATAAATTTTGGCTTTTGTTTACCTAGATCATTCCTCAATTCCACTAACAAGAACGCTTTCTATCTAGCACATGTTTTATACTGTAACCTTCCATCGGACATTATCGAGGCGGAGGGTAGCAGTGTTGCTGTGTACAAACGCAGGATTGGCGAGTGGCTCACGTGTATCGGGTGGGCGGCTGCAGAGGCGTTCATACAGTCCGTCTACACAGTAGCCTATAATTTTGAAAATACTTAACTGAAAAAGATGATTTTGCCACGACTGATGTCAGAATTCAACCATGATTTTGATCACGTTACCACTTTCAGTAATTTTTAGTTTAGTATGACCCATTTTATTCAACTTTTGTTTAAATAATTACTATGGACTTTCGTCTGTGTTTAAATTAAATTAAGGGTTTCCTTTCTAATATTTGTTTTTATAGGCTATAAGTTTTTGTTTCTTTTTTAATTCCTAGTAGCTATAGCCCTAGGTAAGTTTAATTGCATCGAACGGTACCTCAATACTTTGTTTTTAGCTTAACAATAATTTGCAACAACTCTTTACCCGATCACAGATCGACAGTCTATCCGGGGGAATAATTTCATGTAGGCTACTGTTTAATTTTTGGAATAAAAGTACGGTATTTTGATTTGATTTGATTTTTAAGTTATGACCTTTTTTTATTAGCTAAGGTAGGCAAATGAATTTAAGTTTTTTGTTTCAGTTGTAAGTTAGGTATTAGACTAATTTGTTTATTAGGCTACATTTATTTGCATAAGTTGGTCACTTGTTTATTTTAAATAACATCTTGATCAGTTTATTTTACAAATCAAAATTGACTATCATTATTGTAGCTCCTCATATCTAGGTTGCCACAAACCGATTTCTAATAACTTATCTCAAATTAAAAATAGGTATTTACCTTCGTCTACAGCTCAATCTGTTGTAACTTGAGTTACGGCCGTTTCGGCATTATAATGCCATCGTCAGACGTTGAACATTCAGCTGAAGTAGCGTCGTCATAGTTGAAACACGAAACACGAACACGAATAACATTTTACTTTTACAATTAATAACGAAAACACAACGAACAGGCCTGTCGCACACACGGTACCGATTGACATTGACATTGTGTGCGACAGGCCTGTTCGTTGTGTTTTCGTTATTAATTGTAAAAGTAAAATGTTATTCGTGTTCGTGTTTCGTGTTTCAACTATGACGACGCTACTTCAGCTGAATGTTCAACGTCTGACGATGGCATTATAATGCCGAAACGGCCGTAACTCAAGTTACAACAGATTGAGCTGTAGACGAAGGTAAATACCTATTTTTAATTAATATCACAGCTCAGGGGCTAAAAATGGATTTTAATTTATCTCAAATGGTTTGAAAAGTTTGAAGGGTGGGGTGCAAGTTAGCCTTCTTTTTAGCCACCCTGTATGTTCAAAGTTGGGGAACTTATCCTCCTAATCCCCCCCTCCCCCCGTATCCACGCCACTGACAGACCACTAGTTTAATTTCTAAACAAAATTTAATTTCTAAAACATATTTCTAAACAAAATACTGAACTTACAGTCAAACATGGTCATTAGGAGATGACTGCAAAACTAAGTTATTGATGGTTTTTAGAAGTGTTATAGCAACAATGAAAACAATTAACTAGTCTATAAGTTACAGGTTGATGAACGTAGGTAGCCCTGGCCTCAGGCTACCTACAGTATGGTCTTGTAGTGAGTCAACGATGCTTGGGTGTTGTGTGTGTATTTGTGTGTCCGTGTCTGCGTGTGTGTAGAGGATGTATGTATGAATGGTTCCCGGAGTGAATGAAGTTGAATGAAGTTGTATGAATGAAGTCCCATTGACTTTTGTATTTTGGCAGTGTTATTGAATCCTTTTTTTTTTTTTTTTTTTATTTACATTCCAACGGCAAAGACCATTACAAAAATGATTACGATACTTAAATCTTAAATTAATAAACAAATATGCATTTATATAATTCAATAAATAGATATTAACAGGAAAACAGATAAATATATAAATAAACATTTTAAGAGATCAACAAGACAAGAAACACAACTCAATTTACATGCACATTGATTAATAAATATTCAAACCTATCTATATTAACAAATATAATAACCTACAATAAATTTTGTTGCTGGCGCAGGGAAGTCAACCGGACCGTAGCCTTCCTTCGAAAAGTCCTCGTGGTGTCTCCGAAGAAGTCGATACTGGCCCCCAAAGTGTTTCCAAGACGAAGAAATCTTGCAAGATAGGTCTTCTTGCAAGATAGGAAATCTTATAACTTAGGCTAGGTATATTTTTATTTATACCTCATTTTTATCCTCTTTTAACTTTTAATTTTTTGTCGTAAGGTTTTAAGTTAGGCCTATCTGCTGTGTATTAGTATAAGCAGTGTTGGGGAAGCTACTTTTAAAATGTAGCTAGCTACAACTACTGCTACATTTCCAAAAAAGTAGCTTAGCTACAGCTACAGCTACAGTTCCGAAAAAGTAGCTAGCTACAACTACAACTACAATGAAATGTAGCTACAGCTACAATTTTAGCTACTTTTCCAAAGACGTTAATTTTTATTCCACGCACATTAGGTAAATGTAAAATTAATTGCAACTACATTTTTATTGAACAAACATTTAAAAAAATGTCAGTATTGTATCTAACATTACTTGGAAAACAAATTATTCCTAGATTGTATTTAATTTGTTGGCATTATAAACCTAACATTACAACAACAGAACCAAATAGTTGGGTGTCCCATCATATTTAGTAATTATTTTTAAATATTGCATTATTTTTAAGCATCTTAAAATGTAATTTTCATTAAGTTCTAAGGACATACAACCAAACTATATTTTAAAAGCTAATTTTATTAATTTAATATAGATTCATTTATAGATGTTTTATATCAACAATTAAGACCAATAAAACTGCAAAAAGATTATTTAAAAATACTTTTTGTGTTACAGAGCCTAGCCTACTGAAATTGGAGTTTATTGCCTTTCTTTACTTTTAATGTTAAAAACAACATTGCTATAGATTTTAAAGTGATAAATTACTTATTTTGCGAATAACACTTTTCAATGTCAAGAAATCGTCCTTTATTGTCATTATGCATAGGGCAAATTGTGCTTCAACCTAGTTGGTAGAGAAAACAGTATTCAGCAACTTATCCTGAAATCGGCTTTTAATTTAAACATGATGAAATTTGTAAAGTAAAAATAACATGTAGGCCTACTTGGCTATGTAACAAGTTGGCTATAGTAGGCTTGTTCTTGCAAGGACTAAACAGATATATTCATAATAATTGAACTTGGTATTCGTCTTAAACCATAGCCTCAGTCCTATACAAGAGCTGTTAGCAGGAGAAAACTATGCTATTTTTTCAATGTAATTTTCATGTCATATGGAGATTTTTTCATTACAATTATCATGTAGTCTAGGCATATCTTAAATCTCATCAGGAAATTTCTTCTTTGCTAATTTAGTAAACCTTTGAAAAATCTTCGTAATCTAACCAAGGAAGGGCTTGTGATGATAAACCACAATCAACAGCTGAAGCAAAGGTTGATTGACCAGCTTTCTCATTATTTCAAGGTGTGTTGGTTTCCATTAAACCCCAAGTTGAAGCATTATCGATATAATAAAGAAACTAAATTGATTACTAATTTCCCTGTCCTGTCAATCACTTGCAAGCATTCAATTCAATAGCTTCTCTTGTCACCGGTACCATTTAAACGTCGTCTGCATCTAGCGATTTTATTTTATCTGACAGTAATCATAGAGTAGTAAATTAAGGAAATGAGAGCCAAAAATGTGGATAACACTCATTTAATGGCCTCTATGTCCACACAACGTTGTAATAGGGAATGAAACGGCTGAAACCAGCTGTTTGAAGCAAAGAAAGTAGGCCTAATTTTTTTTGAAAATCTCAGTTTGAAAGAGGTTGTTTCACGTAAGGTTGAGGTTATGATAAAAATCACAATCTCAAACAAATGTTAATGTAGCGAGAAAAGTAGCTAAAATTCCGCTACAACTACTTTAAAAATGTAGCTAGCTACAGCTAGAGCTACAAAATCTTAAAAGTAGCGTAGCTACAGCTAACGCTACAAAAAAAGTAGCGCGCTTCTGTAGCGTCGCTACTTGTAGCGCGCTACTTCCCAACACTGAGTATAAGTAGGCTATTAAGTTATGTATTAGTAGAGTAGCCTAATATAACTTAACAGTTAAGGTGTTGTAAATAGATTACAGTACCTATAAGTTGAATGGACTTCAAAGATTCTTTAGTGATGGACTGATAACTTACAACTCGTTCCCCACGCACAGGCTTTGCCTATGTGGGGACCATCCATTGTATAAATTACATAATCCTATTATAATTTTTTGTGAAATAGGCCTAAATGATTTTTTTTTCTATTTTATGGCAATAAGTTAACTTAGGGCCTACCTAACATTAATTTATTCATCACTTTCAAAACAGCCATAACTTATGCCAATAATTATTGCAGAGCAAGAGTAGCTTACAGGCCATGGATAAACTTATGGATTCATTGCAATATTCTGTGTTTGTAAATTGTTTAAGGACACAAAGGACTACAATCCACAATACAAGATATAACCTATTTAAGGCCTATGTTGTCACGGATCATTTTATTTATTCCAAAGGGAAACCCATAACTTTGCTTGATGTTGATGATATAGTACAATGGCAAGATGCATCACAACACATATAGGCTAAAAAAAGGTTAACAATGTGATATTCAGCCTAGGCCTAGCCTACATGCAGTCAAATACACATTTAACTTAAGTAGGCCTACCAAAGTGCAATCAATCTCACGCCAAATTTGAATACAAATGTAAAACAAATTTGCGCCATGAGTACATTATGCTAAAACTAAAAATATTTAAACAAAATAGTCACCATGTACACTAACCTCAACTTTAATATACCTATCAATCGAGTTTTCAAAAGTAGTTGATTCGTACATACTCCTCAGATATTTAAAACCTTCACTTAAATTACAATTCACACTATCTTTGAATTTATCTTTACACTCCATTTTTTGGCAATTCAAAAACTATTCAGAGTCAGAATTAAATGATGAGTAATAAAACTCAAACTGTAAGGTGAAGGCTAAAAAAACAAATACCTAACCAACCAACCCTCATCTCTAACCTAAACAAAATCCCTTGACCAGACCAGAGACCAGACAAAACGACCCACGTGAGTGTGATAAGTGGTGTGATAAGATAAAACTTTGGTGTTGGTCTTTGACTTGATGTGGTTGTGTTCTTTTTTCTTCTTGATTGTTCTGAAATCTGAAGGCACGATTTATATTAACCAGGCAACCTTGAAGTACATGTACATGTAGCTGTAAGACACAAGCTGACTTAGGTGTGCTATTCCCTTCATACCTATTCTGACGTCACTCGGATTGCAAACAAAATATCACCTGTTGTAACTGTCAAATTAGTATTTGTTTTGATTTGGTTGTTATTGTTTTTATAATGAACACATTCAACTTTTTTTTTTTTAACAAGTATTTATTTACAATCTATTCTATACTAGAATAATAAGTAAATTATATAACCATTTTAACATGGGTTAGTTACACTCCATCAAGTGCACTAACATAAAAAAAAACTTTTAAAAAGTTTAACTAAAACGATTTGGAAGGTCTATTGGATTAACTCTTTTGAGCCTATATGTAGCTTCACTATTGTCGAGGAGGTTGACTGCCAGGAAATTTGGATGGGTTTCTAATTTTCTTTGGTATTTTTCACTTCGTTTCTTTATTTCTTCTTTAACATAGGGTAATTTTGTATCTTGATGAATTACTTTATTTGTGACAAACCAAGGTGCTTGTAAAATTTTTCTCAATGTTTTCGATTGAAACCTTTGAACTATTTCTATGTTTGAGTTGGAAGTGGTTCCCCAGAGTTGGATACCGTAGGTCCAAATAGGTTTCAATATAATTTTGTATAAAAGTAATTTATTTTCAACAGATAATTTTGAATTTCGACCAATGAGCCAATTTAGTTTGTTTGTTTGTTTTTAAATTTAAATGAAGTCGTTTGTTCCAAATGTGTGAATGCCATGTAAGCCGTCTGTCGAGATGCATACCAAGGTACTTAACTTCGTTGGATTGTGGAAGCATGACATTATTCAATGTTACTGGGGGACAAGTTCTTGTAGACATAGTATGAAAACATTATAAAATCAATAACAATCAAATCAAAACAAATACATACTAATTTGACCAGTGGGGCACACGGGAGGGACTAAGGCTAACATATCTTGTAGTGTCAGCGTTCGCCGCTAGAACTGCTAAGTTGAAAAAATTAATTTATTTTTGAATTTTTAGTTATAAAATTAACTTTTTAATTATAAAATATTGTTTTAAAATTATAAAATAAATTTTTAATATTAAACTGTCATAACATAACCTATCCAACCAGACTTAATGATTACTTATAAATTTAATTAATTATAAAATTAATTTTAAAATTTAGTATTATAAAATTTAACTGGCATAACCTAACCTAACCAACCAAACTTGCTGATATGAAAAATGTGTCGACAAAAAGTTAGTGCTGCCAGCGGGATTCGAACCCAGGACTTCCTGTACACCAATGCGAAACGCTACCAACTATGCCACGAACGCCGCTGAAATTACATCGTTTCGTTACGGTAATCGTGTTGCCTCAAGGGAAGACATTAGCCACTAGAGATATGACGTCACTACACCTTTAGCCTTAGTCCCTCCCGTGTGGTGTCCGGAAAGATGGGGACGAGGAAACTTAGGGACACGGAAACTTGGGGACAAATCGGGTTTTGAGCCGAGGGGGAGGCCAACGGAGGCTGACTAAGCTCTGAGAACAACTCTTTAAATCGAATCGTTCTATATTGTTATTGTACCTAGGTCTAGTTGTAACTACGACTTGTTGTATTTATTTACACATAGTAGTATCTCCCCTTCAGTTTGTCACCTTATTTAAATGGGTACTTTTGTAGAGCTTAGGGACAACAGATTAAGTACATTAAAGTATTTTTGTAGGATTATTTTATTATTCACAGAGTAAACTCGAATTGTAAATGATTATTCAAGCATACATTTTTTTTTAATACACTCGGATATTTCCAAAACAATAGCTTCAACTTCGTGATGATGTTATAGCCTCCGATTTATGTTATACGACCGTGAACATAGGCGAATTTCTCTCGTTTGTATTATAACAATAATACAATATAATTCAGGAACAACCCGTGACTAGCTATTACTGAGAAAGATTAAAGAAATACCTGTTGAAAAATGTAATTACAGTCATCTAGTACAATGTATTCCACCTATTGTTTAATCTAAGCAAACCTATAAACATCCAGTCCTTGGAAAGGTAAAGGAAATATGAGTGAACAGAATACAGGAATGACCCGTTAATCCCCTCGCACGTTTCTCCGAATCGACTTCATTTGCAATTTCTTAGATTTTCCTTTCAAACAGGCCAGTTATTGGGGTGTCAGGTCACTCGGGTCAGTTAACTTTTGTGTTGTTGCGAGAGTGTGATTGACCTCCAATTTCCAAACTAAATATGGTTTTGGTTTTACGTGGCAATCGCAAAAGAGGAAGTCTAAGGTTCAGCTGTTGATAAAACTATTTTTTTCTGAATTCTTAAAAGTGGTGGTAATTTAGGCCTAATTTCTTTCGTCGTCAGCTTATACCTTATACTTATTGAAATATTTATATACAAAATTATCAAAAACACTGATTTGTATGATAATGGACACGTTTCCTTAAATTCTTTACTCCAAACGTCACTTACCATTTTAGGCTACTTAAAATACTTCTTAATTATATGTTTATTCTACGAAATGATCAGTATGGGTACGCTATTATTATATACAGTAGTCACATTTAAAAATGCTCAGTTTTTTTCTAAATAGAACCATAACATTCTAGCCAAGCGTGATAAAATGCTGGTGACTGTTAGGAACTCTGTTACTGGGGTGAATCTCTTCGATCTTCACAATCTTTTAGTTACATTTTCACATGACATAATTGTAAGCGTTTCCGAAAAAAAAATGACAGTGGATCAGAAATTCAGAGATAAAATGTCCACCAGACATAAAAGTAACCAAATACACCATCTGACGCAATGTGCAAACAAAAATACAATTTATTTCATAACGTTTATCATAGGCCTACACAATCACAAAAATATTTTAATTTTAAACTAATTATAACAATATATCTTAACAATGTGTCATTACATTATATTCAGTAATATTATTGCATAGAATGCGTTTATATATCTTGTAATAACTTCCAAACAAACAAGGAATAACAACAAAACAACAACAACAACAAACAACAACAAACAACAAAACAAGGACAAAACAACAACAACAACAACAACACACACAAACAACAACAACACACAACAACAACAAATAAACAAGGAGGGGTTTTTCTGTGTTTAACTTATCCAAAATGGGTAAAAAAGAAGCTAGCAAACCTAGGCGATTAGGCCTGGGTCAATCAGTACATGACTGACTTTTAACATTTTAAGGTTTACTGTTTGGAAATATTCAAATTATGATGTTGAAGTCAATCCCGTTACCGTAGCTCTCTGTGAACTGAAACAGGAGAACGATTCGTTCTAAAAGAGTCGTTTCAGAGCCTAATTCAGCTAATCTCTCCCTCCCGCTCGGTCGAACCCCTATTTGGCCCTAACTTTCCGTGTCCCTAACTTTCCTTGTCCCCATCTTTCCTAAACTCTCCCGTGTGCCCATTCCCTAATCGGTCAGTTACAATCAGGTGATATTTTGTTTGCAATCCGAGTGACGTCAGAATATGACGGGAATAGCACACCTAGTATGTATTTTCCTTCCACCATGCTAACTATCCATAACTAGGTGGCGTTCGCAGAGGCATCCACAAAATTGAGCGGAGTCATCAAGGATTCATAGTATATTGTTTTTGTCATACTGCAGTAAAAACAGTTGTTTTTAATGCATGCGTTGCACCCGGGTCTAAAGTAGCATTTTTAATCTTTAAAGAGTAAAAATCGTTTTTAGCCTCTATGGAGTAAAAATCAGCTGTTGTCAATTCAGTTGTAATTTTCGATTGTAAACTATTGCATGTACGAAAATATGTATCGATTCGTGCTTCGTAATCATTTTAACCTCTCTTCCCATAGCACTTTAACAGTCTCTTCCCATAGCATTTTAGCATTGCAGATACGTTAATCCATTCCCACACTCAACACTGCTCACCTTTACTACTTCCTTCACCACCCCCTACGTCGTGAACCTGTTTCCCTCTCTTCTCAGCATTTTAGGATTGCAGATACATTAGTGTAATAGCCAAAGACAGTTCCCACACCCTGCACTGCTAGCCTTACTACTTCCTTCTCCATTTCCTACTTCATAGACCTGTTTCCTTCCCTTCTCTTAGCATTTAACTATTACAGATACATTTATCTAACTGCCCAAACGGTTCCCCCACTATGCACTGCCAGCCTTTACTACTTCCTCCACCACTACCTACGTCGTGGGGCCTGTTTCCTTCCCTTCTCATAGCATTTTAGGATTGAAGATGCATTAATCTAACTGTCACTGACGGTTCTCACTCTATGCCCATACTTTACTACTTCCTAAGCCACTTCCTACGTCGTGGACCCGTTTTCATCACTTTCCATAGCATTTTAGTAATTTAGATACGTTAATCTAATTGCCACAAACATTCCCCACACTCCGCACTGCTAGCCTTTACTACTTCTTTCATCATTTCCTATGTAGTGGGCATGTTTCCATCCATTCTCATTACATTTCAGCATTGCATATACATTAATCTAACTGCTACAAACGGTTTCCAGTTCCCACACTCCACACTGCTCACCTTGCTACTTCATTCGGCTCTTCCTACGTCGGGGACCTGTTTCCCTCTCTTCCCGTAGCATTTTAAGATTGTAGATACATTAATCTAAGTGTCATAAACAGTTCCCACACTCCGGACAGCTCGCCTTTACTACTTCCTTTACCACTTCCTACGTTGCGGTCTTGCGGACCGGTTTTCCTCCCTTACCATAGAATTTTAGGAATGCAGTTACCTTAATCTAATCGTCATAAACAGTTTCCACAGTCCGGACTGCTTGCCCTTACTACTTCCTTCACCACTTTCT